ACGTAGTCCTACGTCAAAAGTTATCATAAGAAACAAGTGTAACACCATTTGGTTAAAAGGTAAGCATAACCTTCAGTTGTATTTCAATGAAATCATTTTTAAAGATTATTATTTTTAATTTTTTTTTAATACAGGAAGCAACATGAGTGAACGAGCATGTTTTATCAGATGCATTCGGCCGTTCAAGGAAGTCAAGTGCTCGAAAGAGCTGAGGAATATTTCGAATATTACCATCCAGAAATTAAAATCGATTGGATATTCTGAAGCATCAGGATTGAATACTGGTTTTCGCATTTGCACGTCCTGCCGTCTTCGTGTTGATAAACAAGCTCTTTTCATCTCAAACGAGGAACAGCATGTTGCCGGAAGCTCAAAGATGCCAACTACAGTGATAGTACCTGTCGTACCGAGCTGTGAAAGCCTTACAACTGTACCACCAATGACATCAGTTACTTCAGTTCAATCGTACCAAGAATTCACTCAACCAGTCAACATCGAGATATTCCACCGAGGCATTGCAGGAATCCAGGTATCACCGATACACGTGGAAAAACTCAACTACATCCACTACCCCGAAAAGAAGCACCGTGAAATCAACGAAGGTATTAGAAGGAAGGTCATTCGTCAAAAACCGCAAAATATGGCACAGCCTTAAGTGATGAAACAAAATTGGCAGTCATAATTTTTTTTTGAAGATGATGATATAAGCCGGGCAATGCCTGGTCAAAAAGATTATGCAGACATGAAAAAGACAAGCCATTCAAAAAAGATTACTAATGATGACTTTGAGAGAAGCTTATAAACGATTCAATGAAATTCACTGCAATGTAAAAATTGGATTCTCTTCATTTGCAAAACTCCGCCCTAAGCAATGTAAACTTTTAACCAGCTCTGGAACCCACAATGTTTGCGTGAGCACAACACATGAAAACATCAATCTAATTTTACACAGTTTGAAAAAAACTTAACCATTTAAATGATGTAAAAACGTTCACTGACAGCCTACTTTGTGAAAACAAGACAGCATATTGCTATCTACGGTGTTGTGAAGATTGTCCAGACTCTTCCGCATTAGAAAACATTTTATTAAAGCAATTAGAGGAAAAATGCATTGATCAGTTTTCATTTGAACAGTGGGTTACCACGGATAGATGTGATTTAGAAACTATTGTAAAGCCTGCAGACGAGTTTGTTTCATTTTTCTGCTTGAAATTGACAAGTTTGATACCACATGATTTCATAAAAACACAGCAATCTATTTTTTTGAAAACTACACGAAATAATTTGCAAGAAGGTGATTTTTTACTTACTTGCTATTTTTCCGGAAACTACAGCTTTGTGTTACAGGATGAAGTTCAGTCTCATCACTGGAATGTCCAACAAGCTACCATTCATCCTTTTGTTATATATTTTAGAGAAAATATGCAAGTTAAACATTTAAGTTTTATTATAATTTCTGAAGAGTTAAGGCATGACTCAGTGGCTGTTAACTTATTTATTTCTAAAATGATAAGTTTTTTACGCATTGACTAAAGTAAAAATATCAACAAGATTTATTTTATGTCCGATGGAGCCGCGTCACAGTACAAGAACCGGAAAAAATTTGCTAGCCTTTGTAAATTTAAATCAAAATATGGAATTGAAGCCGAATGGCATTTCTTTGCAACATCACATGGGAAAGGTCCTTGTGACGCTATTGGAGGTACAATAAAACGCATGGCTACTAGAGCAAGTTTGGCCAAAGAACATGAACATCCAATAAAAAATGCTGGAGAGCTTTATAATTAGACAAATGATCGAAAAGAAGAAGAAATAACAAAATTATTATTTAGTTTGCCACAACAGAGGAATACGAAAGTATGGCTTCACACCTCAACGAGCAATATAATAATGCAAAAATAATTCAAGGAACTCAAAAGTTTCATTCTTTCATTCCTGATGTCAAAATATTCGATGTATTTAAGAAGTGATGTAAATAAAAATAGAAAGTAAGTGTATTACAATGAAAATAAATTATGTATCATCTGTCCATAAGGTCCATGTGTTTTTAATGAAAATGTAAAAATCGTGAAATTTTCAAAAAACCATAACTTTTTACCATCACGAAACTTTGCCAGTTAGTAGCAAATATTATGAGCTTCAATGAGGCTTAAAACAAAAAATTTCAAAAATGCAATTTTTGAGAAGTTAATTTTTTTAATAATAAATATAGTTTTTTTCATTGATAAAAACGGAATTTTTTACAGTGTATATTTTTTACACAATTGCCAAAATAATATCTACAACTTTGCTCAAGACACCAAATCAATCGAACAAAGCGTTTCGGCAATATATATTTTTTAAACTCATTAGTACTATTTTTACACAGGCCCTTTACAAAAAGTAGTCGTGATTCAATATGAAAAACTGAGAGCACAAAATGGTACCTTTATGGCGTAATTGGAAATGATCGGTCAGGATCGATTTGCGAACCTTCGTGGAATGCCTCTGTAAGGAAATAAACGTGAAGACATAAAACAATTGATTATTGAATTATGATTTGAACTCCAATTCAAACTAGCATTTGCTGTTCAATTGAGCAGTACAGAAACTTAGACCAATAAAAATAAAAATATCCATTAAGGCCTCGTCTATCGATAATATCAAAACGAGATTATACTGTGTAACAAAGGTTCTAATCACCTGCCCGGTTGGATCAATATGGGTTTTTTTTAATTAAAATATTTTATTTGAGGAACCGCATAAATCCAGTTGATCAATTGCTAGAAAACAGCAAAAAAACTGAATCGAATTCCTATGTTGCTCTACAAATTATAATTTTAGACGCTAATTTAAAAAGGTTTCTCTCATTCGATGTGCTGATATTTGAAGGAGAGGTGTATTAACTGACATAACCCCAAGGCTGCAAAATGCGTGTCAAAATTTAAATCTATCTTCTCTCATTTAGAACAGATAGAAACCCGAATTAATCTTTGGTTGGCCAGCCGGAATGGAAAAACCCGGAAATTCCCTAGCAAAATGCGTGTCGATTCATGTTGACATGACAATTCCTGAAAGTAGACCTAGAGATCCGTAATTTTCAAATAGTAGTCTTATGCAAAGTTGCTTAAGTAGACAAAATATTTACACCCACAATGTTTCACTGGGATCTGAGAGAGTGCTGCCAAGCGATTTGGCGTGAAATCCGTCTCTTATAAAATGTGAAAACCGTAAATGCTTACTAACAAGTTCCAAAACTGACTCACCAACCCTACTTACATGGTGATTTATGCAAATATCTATAAATAGAACCAGAAATAATTGTTTCCACTAATTTATGTTTTTCCAAACTCGAAAACAGTAGGCTGTGGAATTTTGACGTCTTTGAGAGAGTTTGAAAGTTTTGCGGAGTTACTACACTCTAAATTGTAAGTACCCATTAATGTGTACAATTTCACCTCATTTGAGGAAAAGTGTATATGTATACCCATTAAATGCGTAACCCGGTTAGTTCAAATAGCCCAGCAGTTCGGTAGAAATGCCGTTTTCCGAACACCAACCAGATTATTTACCAGCAATTGGAGAGGTCGCGTACCTGTTGTTCGTACCTTCCCCCTCCTTCACAGAAAATAAATCTGAATTTTACTACTGATGTAAACATTCATGCATGCAAACATTCAAGCATGTAAACTTCCTTTTCACGTAAACTAGCAGCTTGCAGGAAATGTTGCAAACAAAGGTAGACAATTGCACACAATATATGGAATATAGCATGACATGTCTCATAAATTTACACGATCTATAATGTAAACTTGTAGGATATATGACGCTCCATTTATGTGCATCATTGTAACGTAAATTTACACTACTTTTTTTTAACTGTGTTTGATGCCCGCACTCGAAACCAGGTTCCGGCTTTGTCAGAAGTGTTCAGCGTTCAGTGGATAGCCTGATTCCTGGCTATCTTGGATGGGCATCCCCGAACACTGGATTCAACGGACACGATTCGCTGATGCAGCCCACCTAGTCTATATGCAGCAGTTATCGCCGCCCGGCAAAACACTCACACACTCACCAAAATCCTGTTAGTTTCACGTAATCAATAGAGTTAAACGAAAATGTTGAGCATTCTTCTTTGAGCCCAACCCTGAGGGCGAGAAGCCTCAAGTAAGAGACCTTGTGAGCCCACCCTCATGGTACCCGTGGTTTGGACCAGAGATCGAGGGCTTAGCATGAGGGTCCGTTTGACTCCTTAGTAATACTTTCTAATATTTTTCTACAAAACAAAACAGTTTTATCTATATGCTCTGTATATATTTAGATATGAATATTTAAAAAGTATGCACCCGGCGATTTTTGAATTTTTGTTTGAATATCAGACCGAAATAGGTTGAGGAACGTTTAACTAATATTATCTGATAAAAATAAAAAAATAAAAATTGTTTGTAGCTAAAAACGTCTCTATCAATTAGAGCCCAATAAAATTTAACAGTTAAGCGGCATTCCATATCAGACCATATTAAACCAATTACTCATTTCCCTAACAATAACTCCCATTTGCATTTCCTCCATAACCCATCATTTCCGCTTCAGGTTCGTAAATAATCCCACGCTTAAGCGATTATTTTAAACAAATTAAATTAACCTCTCCTCTCTCCACGGCCCGATGCAATCGTGCACAAAGTGAACCAATTAAACAACACCCAAAACAATTTCCCATTGAGCCACTCAAACCCGTCGAGCCGGTCGTTAAAACATATGAAGCTGCAAGCCAAAGGAAATATAGCTAATTTTCACACCTAAACATAGATAGAATTCACACGTGCCGTAAGCCGCTCGATGGGAATTGTTGAAATTCCCTCCCAGCATCACTTTTTTCTCATTTTGTTCGATCATAATTTACTATTGATTAAGTACTGCTCTGCGGTGATGGGATTTGAGGCAACAGGTTGAACTGTAATTGGACATTGGTACGTGCGGAGGTTTAAAAGATGGACAGTGTTGAAGTAAGTAATGACACATATTGATTTAGTCAGGTATGATTTAATTATAAGCCGTCATGAGTTTACATACATTGGGTATGAACTTAATTTAACCTAGCTTTCTTCGCTTCCCCATTGTTACTAGACCATGCTCCTTAGAAACCTGTTGTTAGGTATTTTTTATAGAGATTTAATAATGTCAGCTTCTTACATAAATGTTACATCACAGCGTTCTGCCGATAAAAAATCAGTTCAAGGTGCCCATTTTTCCTTGTATAGTCACACTCATCATGCTACCTTAATTGCGATTAAATAGATTATTATCAAACCTTCTCCTAAGCTTAGATGCAAATATCACAATGTATAATTTATTCTTTAAGAATAATTTAAACCGATCCCACCCGTTCTGAACCGGGCAAAATCATCAAGGCAAACGCTTATAATAACTCAAGGTTCATTTTCGATTAGCAACGCTTCCCGTCGGATTTCGGCATCGCCGTACTTCTCCAGCTCCTTCCGCAGTGGAAACGGTATCATGCTGACCGTCGAGTATCGGATCGATTTGCGCGGGTCGTACTCGAGTGTTGCATGACGCGAATACAACAACATCAGCGCCGTAGTGGCGAGTAGCGAAACTCCCAGTAGCGAGAGCAAGTACACACACCCGCTCTGCAGGTACGGTGCAACGTCGAACAGCAGGCGTAGCAGCATCACAATGTCCGGAGTGAGCTTTTCCACCTCCTGGTGATTTGCGAGAGGGAGAGAAGATATAAGAGAAAGTGATTAGGTGAGACTGCAGAGACGGTTAGCCTACGAAAAATATGAAGTTGATCATTGAAAAGGTGAATTAATACGGCCTGTTTAATTGATTATGATTTGAAATTATATTTTCACAAACCTACTACGATTCTCTAAGAAAAAAATAAATAAACTCGTGACCCAACACCCAGACAATATCTTCTCTTCTTCTTCTCATCAATATCCCTCAACTTGCGTTGCTATTCGGGCTGCTAGTTTGACAACTTTAGCCATTGCTATTTTAGTTAGCAACTTGTTTACGCACCGGTCGTTGCTATCACGATTGTGAATTTACGTTTCGGCTTTCGCACCGATAGTTGCTAAACTTATCGTCGAACTTCGAACTGAAATTGATCACAGAGTTTCGTGATTGTTTTTTTTTTACATAACCACGCAAGCTGAAGATTGAAGGTTAAGATCCAACTACTCAAGAAACGGCCCTCCGGAAGATCCGAATAGCCCAGCGATTTTTTAATCACTTATTGTGATGCTACATGAATGAATTTGAATCTGGGACCAACATGCGCGCACTGGTGGTCAAGAAACTGTCCTCTGGGAGATCCGGAACATCCATAAAATGGGTCAATTCGTAAAATGATCGAGATATCGATCTTCGTATGCTCATCTTATAAAAGTTTGGCACCAAAAGGCATAAAGGCTTTTTCGGATGCTCATCTGGATTACTAGATTACATATTTTAGCTTGTGAATTTATCAAAAAAATTTGAAACCTTTAGGAAGTTCTGACTGATAGAAATGTGGGGAATTTACTTCAGCGGAGATCAGGAGCTTCAGAGCAGTTCCTTTATATTCAGGAAAATTTGAAAGTAAAAAGTCCTATGAGTAAGTTACGTGAACTTCGGGTGAGTTCTGAAAATGTTAGGGCAGTTCCATGAATATCAGGGAAACTGTGAGAACTTGAGGGACGTTCCTATAACTTTAGGTTCGTTTCGAGAACTTTATAGCAGTTCCATTTATTTCAGTAAAATAAAGGAAACCATCAAAAAGTTCCGAACATTTAAGGATAGTAAAAAAACTTCAGGGAATTAACTTAAAAACATTAAGAAAGCTACACAGAAGATCCATGTTTAAAGGGAAGTTTAAAAATCTTCTGGGCAGTTCCACTAATTTCTGAACAATTCCAGGAACATCATCAGGAGAACATAAGGAAAGTTCCGTAAACTTCAGGAAACAATAGAGATCTTCCGGAGCGTCTGAGGAATGAAAAAAGTACTGAGAATTTCAGAAAGTTTTATAGGAAAACTGTGGGAACAAAAGGTAAGTACCAAAAACTTCTGGAAATTTTGGTGAACTTCAGGCAAACTTCAGGATTTTCAAAGTGGCTCCAAAAACTTCAGGAAACTGCAGGAACTTTTAAGACGATTTGAGAAATTCAGGGATATCCAGAGAACTTTAAAGAAGTCAAAATAAGTTCAGAGATGTTGAGATAACTTGTGGAAAATTGACATTTTAAAGAACTTCCAAGTACCTCAAAGAATAATCCTTTAAATTTGTCGAACCTCTTAACGGAATTCCTTTATGAAGAGCTTGGAGTGGGTTGGTTTATTTCCTTTAAATTCCGTTATAATTGTTTAACTTTTGACAGATACACCACTTAGATATTTACCCTCCGTTACTCGCGCCAACTTTTGTAACACGAGTACTCGCGCGTTGTACTTTGTACAGTAGTTTTCCATTGCCATTTTGCAGCCAAGCTACCAACCGATATGAAACCAACGGGTATTCCCTAAAAAACTTGTTTTTAACTAAACAAGCTAAACTATTATCACAATTAACCCCCAAAAAATGCGAATAATAGAGAAAATGTGAATGGAATCCGCGTGAACGGTGTCCGTACTACGTGGGATTTGACGTAATTGGTTACAACATGGAAAATCTCGAGATCCTGACCAGATAGAAAGTTACTGTATTCGGCAAAGTTTTTCAGGAAGTCAAGATCTTTTTGTTGGTGGAGTAGTTCAGAAAATTCTCACTACGTGGCGCTAGTATATACGTGCAATTTTCGCATATACAATAGCTCGAGATCCTGACCAGATAGAAAGTTGCTGTCTTCGGCAATCTTGTTCAGAGGGTCAAGTATTTTTGGCTGGTGGACAGTAGTTCAGAATTTTCTCACTACGCGACGCTAGAACATACTGTTAAAGTTACTGTCTAAGGTAAAGCTGTTCAGGAGATCATATCCTTTTTACTGGTGAACAGTAGTTTAGAATCTTCTCAATAGGTAGTGCTCATATACATGTTAAGTTCTCGCATGTAGGGGCATGAAGTAGTTCGTCTCCTCGTGGTGTGCCCTGGAAACGTTAATTATCGAACCCAAGGGAGAGATATTGCGGCTAAACGAACTACTGCAGAGTAGGGACGCTGGAACCCCATCCAGCTCGTCCCAGAAGGTTGAGAAGCCCTGCACAAACCCTCGTTGTGCAAAGGCAGGAGTGACGCCGGGTTCTTAGAGTGCTTAGCACACGCAGCTGGTAAGCGGTCACATCTGTCCTAAGCTGCCCTGTTGGACAGTTGGCTGGCTATCACGTCTGCTCTAGAACTCGGGCGAACAACGAACAGCGAACAACAAGAGGAAGGCCCTGCACAGCTGCTCACTGTGCAGTAGCGAGTGTCACGTCGGACACAACACCAAGTGATGCGCCATAGCGCAACCGGCCCCCTCCCATGACGTAATGCTTTCGGGTGGTTCCGGGGAGGGCTAGGGCCTAGAGCACAGGGTAAGCTTTAGTGGGTCGGGAGAGCTATTTCTCCCATCCCCACACCCTGAGTTATCTTCTCAGGAGTCTGGGAGCAGATTCCCCCCTGTATAAAAAAAAAAAAGTTCTCGCATGTGATACATCAATAGATCCTGACCAGATAGAGAACAAATGTCTTTGGCAAAGTTGTTTAGGAAGTCAAAATCTTTTCATTGGTGGACAGTTGTTCATAATTTTCTCACTACTCGGTGCTAGTATACACATGCAATTCTCGTATATACAATACCTCGAGATCCTGAGCAGATAGAAAGTTACTGTTTTCGGCAAACTTGTTCAGGAGGTCAAGATTTTTTGTCTGGTGAACAGTAGCCCAGAATTTTCTCACCACGTGGCGCTAGTAAACATGTACAATTCTCGCGTATGCTATAGCTCGAGATTCTGAACAGATAGAAAATTAATGTCTTCGAAAAAGTTGTTCATGAGGTCAATGCCTATGCCACGTAGTGTGAAAATTCTGAACTATTGTGCACCAATAGTTTAGAATTTTCACACTACGTGGCGTTAGTATACACGCAAAATTCTCGCATGTAAAATATCTCGAGATTCTGATCAGATAGATTTCGCTAGTGGACAGTAGTTCAAAATTTTCTCACTACGTAGCGCTAGAGTACACGTGAAATTCTCGCATGTGGTTTGTTTCAAGATCCTGACCAGATAGAAAGTTTCTGTCTTCGACAAAGTTTTTCAGGAGGTCTAAGTCTATTGCTTGGTGTACAATAATTGAGAAGCGGCGCTAGTATACACACAGTTCGAAAAAGTAGTGTAAGTTTCTGTTCAGTATGATGCACATAAATGGAGTTTACATTATATATCATATAAAGTTCTAAGACATATCATGCAATGTAGCAAATATTGTATACAAAAGCCCATTGTTGAAAACAACATTGTTTACAAGCTGCTCGGATGCGTGAAATGAAATACAAGTTTACGTGAATGAATGTTTCCATCACTATTAAAATTCAGAATTTTTACCTGCGCACGTGAAATTTTTACGTATAAAATATCACGAGATCCTGACCAAATAGAATGTTACAGTCTTTGACAAAGTTGTTTAGGGAGCCAAGGCCTTTTTGCTGGTGGACAGACATTCTTTTTTTCACATCATTTCGCTTGTAATCACGTGCAATTCTCGCATTAGATATATTTCGAGACCTGCTAAACTGCCATCGGCAAAGTTGTCCAGGAGATCAATACTTTTTCGTTGGTCGACAGTACAGAATTTTCTCACTACGCGGCGCTAGGATATACGTGAAATCTTCGCATACATAATATCTCAAGATCCTGAACAGCTAGACATTTACTGTATTTGGCAAAGCTGTTAAGGAGATGAAGATCTTTTGGCTGATGAACAGTAGTTCAGAAATTTCTCAAAACTTGGCGAACAATTCTCGCATATCAAATATCATAATATAAAAATACAACAAACATCAGCCTAAGTGATATAAGACAACTATATTCTGGATTTCTTTTACAGATGAAGATTTTCATGCAGATTTGTGGATACATAAATTGAGGTGAGTCGTTCCACTTGTATACCTCTGATAAATTAGTGGTAACACGTATCTCAGATGGAAAACATTATCTTAAAAGATTAATATCCCTGAAACTTCCACCGAACGAATGTTTAGAGTCTCCCTTTCATTTGAGGCTAATTTCAAAATGTCTTATCGAGGGTCTAGAACGTATGCACAGACAACGAGACTAACTCAGAGAGTGAAGCACTTTTGCTCAGTTGCATGGAGACATTTATAAAACCGTGCACTCCCGATCATAAGTTTAAGGACACGTCTTAAAAACGTCAAATTGTCGTTCTTTTTAGAACATTTTAAAGATTTTGAATGGAAATACGAAGAGGCAAATTGCTCAATATAATTTTCAAATTTTGTTTACCAAAGGTGTGGCATAGATGATGATTGCACGTGTATACTAGCGCAGCGCAGTGAGAAAATTCTGAACTACTGTTCACCAGCCAAAAGACCTTGACCTCCTGAAAAACTTTGCCGAAGGCAGCAACTTTCTAGCTGATCAAGATTTCGAGCTTTTCAATATGCGAGAAAGGCACGTATATACTAGCGCCGCATAATGAAAAAATTCTGAACTATTGTCATCCAACAAAAAGATCTTGACTTCCTTAAAAACTTTGCTGAACACATTTACTTTCTATCGG